TTAAAGCTCAGGCCATCTGGCTGTATCATCCTTTACCTCTTTTGAGCTATCCTCCCAATTTTTTGAGGACAGTAGCACTGTGATCACTGTCTGGTCATCTTTTTCTATCCCAGTCTGGTCATTGTCCTGACCCGCTCCAAAGCCCACAGCATACCAGCATTTTGACCTTTTGTTTCTGTGACCCCCTCATTTCCACTGAATTTCACCTTCACTAGACTTCAGCTACGCACATGATCACACCTTTGACTTTTTTTTAATCACTTACAACTATTTCAGTTGTAAAATACTAAATCCAAACATCCCACTTCCTAATAATAATCTCTTATTATTATTTACTAATTATCTTACTCAATTACTTCCTTCATACCTGTTCTTTGATTTTACAGGAGCATCCAATCCCTTGCTCCCTTTTCTTTCTCCTGTCTCTCTTTCTTTCTTTTCTGCTCCATCTTAGAATCCTTAGCTTATAACATCGAACGCTTTCTTGTCCATGTCTCCAAATTCCAAGTTCATTTGTCCTCCCATCGCCCACCGGTAAGGCTCTGGCCCCAGATCCATCTAACTGCCCCCCTCCTTCATGCCCATATCTGCACTGCCAAGCTCTCTTGAAGGAAATCAGTCCTGAAGATTAAAGCCACTAAACAACTCTTGTCTCCGACTGCAACTGGGGCCTCCACACTGCCCAAAGCCCATCTTTGCTTTTTCTAACCAGCTCTTTCCAGGCTCTGTGACCAGCTGAAATCTGCTTCCTTCGGTACCTTCACTTCCCACTCAGCAGAATATTTAATCTCCTCTCTCATTAAAAGAAAATAGCCATCGTAGGAGAGTTTGCTCTGCCTTTACCCACTAAACCTACACACTGACACTCCCATCCTTTCCTGCTCCCCTGTTGCCACAAAAAAGACATCACTGCTCAAATTTAAAACTCATTCCCCTGCCCATGCTGTTAATTCCGTTCATGCCAACATTTCCCTGGCCCTTTCTCTACCTTACACTTTGGGACTTCCTATTCTCCTCCTTTACTGGCTCTTCTACAGCAGCAACATCTTTGAGAGTCTCTGCAATCTCAAAATATTTTTTAAAAAGTAAAGAAAAAAAAGATCTTCATTTTTCTTTATTGCTTTCTCACTTTCCACTCACTCCTTAACCCATTGTAATTTGTGTCCCACCCTCGACACACCCCAAAGAAACTGGATTTGCCATGGACACCAGTGGCTTCTGAGTTGCTAAACACAATGGACATATTCCAGTCCTAATATTACTTTTCTGAAATATTTATCATTGTTACTCACTCCCTCTTATTCTGTTTTTCTTCAGTGTTCTACTATAGAAAAATTTAAACATATTTGTAAATACAGAGATTAATATCAATCATCTGGCTTCAGTAATGGTCAATACATGACCAATCTTATTCATCTATATCCACAAGCTCTCCCGTTCCCAACTACTTATTTTGAAGCAAATCACTGACATCACATAATTTCTGTTGTAAATGTTTCAATATGCATCCCTAAGAGGTAAATCCATTTCATGTGATCATAGTATCATTATCACACCTAAAAATTGTAATTCATAAATAACATCAAATATACAGTCTTTGCATTTCTCTGACTGCCTTCTAATTTTTTTCAATTGGTTGGTTGTTTGAATCTAGATCTACATTAAGACCCATATTTTGAAATTGTTTGAAATGTCTCAAGTTTTGTTTTGTTCTTTATTCTATAGTTTCTACTTCCATTTCTTTTTTGCCCTTGAAAAAACATTTTTTGGTTTTGTTGCAGAAATGAAGTCAGTTGTCCCATAGATTTCCACATAGTGTGGATCTGGCTGATTATACCCTTATAGTATTATTTAATATTTTGCATCTGCATCTCCCATTGCTTCTAAATTCAGAGACCTAGAGGATTGATAAGATGCAGATTCAAATTCATAAGCCTACTTCATAAGCACTACTGTTTATTTCTATAAGTATAAATGTTTCAATTTTTATATTAATAATATTATCGCCAATAATCATTGCCTACATAATAGGGTTGGCAAAATGATGATATTAAAATGCTATCATTTCTTATTCCTTACCTGGAAAAACTTCCCCTCATCAACTATTTAGTAACCTTGAAGTACAAATCCTATAGAAAAAACAGAATAAATGTTTGACTCTTTCCTTTCAAAATCATGAGTTGGTTTGCCTAGTATTCTCTAAAGGTGACCAATGAGGTTTTTCGTTTATTTTCTTCAGTGTCATTATCAACTCATGAATCTATTACCCTTATTGAAGTTCTTTGGGTGAGCAAAAGCTTACTCAACTTGGCTTCCAAGTCTTTTTGACACAAACTTTGTAGTGCTTGGTAGCTTCCTTGCTTTCTGTTATAACAACATTTTCTCAGTTCATTTTATGCATGTCCTGCTCTTGACCTAGAATCAGGAATTTCTTCTGAAATCCCTGGTTTCTTTTTAGTGGAACTTGTATTTTGGGAGCACACTCTGGGCACCAGGAATGTCATTACTATTGGATTGGTCGCTGTTTCTAGATCTTTTTGGTAGATAGTATGGTGAATATATATTCTTTTAGATTGAAAAATAATATACGCCATGAGTTCTTACTGACAAGTCTAACTCAAATTCAGGATAACTACGGAATTGTTACTTAACTTCGTGCTGAGTATCTCTTTTTAACCAAGCTGATAATCTCAGTTCTCAATGACACCAACATAATCATTTATGTCATAATACAAAAACAATAGTCTCAGAATAACAGTGACAAAAAGACAACCAGCAATATGAGTACTAGAAGTAGTTTAAGATTTTTTTGTAGTTTTTTTTTTTAATCCTTAAAATATATCCCTTTAGGAATGAATACTCAACATGAGGATTTTAAAGTCACTTCAAATCATCCCTTACTGTAAGGTTTTGCCACCACTTTGAACCACGCTAAAAGTTGATTCATGCTACTTTAAATTTTTTAGGAACCAATTTTTAAATTTATTTTATTTCATTTTAAGACTATATAAGATATTTACATGGTTCCAACATCAAATGTACAAACAAGGTATATGCAAAGAAGTCTGGCTATTATCTTTGTTTCTTTCAGCCTCCTGCCTCCCTATAAGTAACTTTTTTTGGTGGTTTATTCTTTCAACTTTTAAATATACATAAATATAATTCTAAACAATGATAATACACTATTTGTACTTCTCTCTACTTTGCTTTACTCATTTAAGGATATGTCCTAGAGATCACTCCATGATATTAATAGCATGTAGACATCATCTTCACTTTTTCTTGCACCTCCATAGCCATACTCCCTTGGAGGGATGTACCATACTTTTGATCCACCCAGTGCCCTACTGATGGAGATTTTTGAGTTGAATTCAGTCTTTTGCTATTCAAGTAATCTTTCAGTGAATATCCTTCTGCATATTTAAAGATAATACACACCATGAGTTCTTACTGGTAAGTCCAATTCAAATTGGATATGTCTTTTTCTTATTTTTGCTAGTCTATCTCTGGCATAGATTCCCAGAAGTGGAAATTGCTCTGTTAAAGCATGTATTATTTTTAGATGTTGCCACATGTATTATTTTTAGATGTTGCCAAATTCTCCTCCATAGTGTTGTGCCATTTTGCATTTTCAATGGCAATGGAAATGAGAATGGCTGGTTTCTTTCACGCTCATCACAGAGTATGTTGTGAAACTTAGATTTTTGTCCATCTGAAAGCTGAAAATAGGTTTCTCAACTCAGTTTTCATTTGAATTTCTCTTACAAGGAGGTTGTGCATTTTTTCATACAATTAAGAGCCCATTATGTACCTTTGACATGGTCTTCTCCATTCATACCCATGAAGCCACACACAAAATGCTAATTTGTCTTTTATTACTTGAGTTACTTTTTAATCTCTTTTCTAATTCCATTTCTCCCATTTATTTTCTAAGTATCCCTCTTCTTTCAGATTGAATCGTAGTTGTTTCTTTTAAAAAACACTCTTTTGGCTGTGAATATCATTGCTATTCTGACTGCTACTAGGTGCATACCTGCAGCTATCTCTCTTCATCTGTCCTAGTGGAGATGTTGAAATGGGCCTCCCAGGCACCTTAACCGCAGCATGTGCAAAGCTCTTCCCCTCCACACCCTTCCTCTGGTGCTTTCCAGTACAGTGAGGGCTGCCACGATGCACCAGCTGCCCAGGTCAGAAGCCTGGACCCTCTGCTGATTACTCCCTCTCCTTCCTTCCACCTATCAAACCAATCACCAATTTCTGTGGCTTTTATCTCTCAAATGGTTCTCAAGTCCATTTACTTCTTTCTATCCCAGACTACTGGTCTAAACCACTGGCCACTGTCATTTCTTCCCTAGATTACTGCAACTTCCTTTCAGATGGCTTTTGCTTTTCTTCTTGCTCTAAAACATGGTCACAATTACCTTTTAAAACACACATAACATAATCCATTTACCAGCTTGAAAACCACCACGGGAAAAAAACAAACAAACAAAAAAAACCCACAAAAAACCCCCAAAACCCAGGCAACCAACAAAACAATAAAACAAACAACTGAAGTCCCAAAGTATATCTTTCCATTAAGTTCACACATAAGTAAGTAAATGCTACCACGTTCTGGAAGACCAACACTGAACTGATAAGAGAGGTCACCTCTGGGGAGGGGATTGAGGGACAGGCAATGAAGGGGATGTTGTGGACCAGGTTAGAGCTGATGAAGAATGATGTCAGTTTCATCATTATTTGAACCATTTGAATTTTTTACAGTTAGAATATTTTCCAGTATTACTTTACGTATTTAAAAATAAGTAAAATGGACTGAGAAAGTGACCCTTAACTAGCTCTGAGGCAGGTTGGGCTCACCAGTGGGTGTATGAAATTCCAATGTCAGTTCGCCTGGAAGAGGATTCAGGTCCAGCTGTCCCCTACAACTTCCCTGGAAAATGAAAAACCATCCTCTTCCCCTATATATTACCTGAGAATTTCAATCGAGGTATTCTTACCTTTGTGGTCCACAGTTTGACAGTCCAGTCAAACGATGATGTAACAAACAGGTGGGAAAAGTCGATTGGGCCCACTGCCATGTGGCAGTTAATTCCCGTCACTGGCCCTTGGTGACCTTCAAAGACCTCACCGATGCCAGCTTTGCTGCATGAAGAGCACATGTGAGTGGTGACCTTTGCAAATCAGAGATTGCTTAAAAAAAAAAACCCAAACTCATCTCTGCATAATGACTTCTCCATAATTTAGAACCACCACCATACACCACTAAAAATGAACCTGCTTTCACCGTTATCTTGAGGGAAGGAAATTGTTTGCAAACATATGACACTATTTTTGGTGATTAAAAACAATCTGGGGCAACTACATGTTTTTAAAATTCAGAATTGAATATCAAATTTTATCATTTGATCCTTTTTCAGGAGTTCCTCAAGTCCTGTCATTGTAGATGCAGCTATTTTGATGGAAAGAAATATACTTAGATCTCAGAAGCTTTCGTATTTATAGTAAGACTATTTTATTCCTGAAGTGGCATTTTGTATATCTTCTATTATATTTTAACTCTTTTGAGGGAGCCTATTGGCTATGAAATTCCATACGTCCTTGGAGGAATAATCATTTATTCTTTCAAGGAAATTTCTTAAATTAAGTTGGCATAACTAAAAATGTAACATTTTGTAGAAACCTTTGTCACCATGATACACATGATTTAAAGAAAATATGGAGAAAATGATGTTTTCTCTTCAGTGAAAACAGAAGAGAAACTTACAAATCCACTGTAAATTCCATAAGGGCAAGTACCTTGTCTTTCTTGTTGCCAAGTGTCTAGCACACAGTAAGTGCTCAATAAATATTTGTTGCATGAAATAGCAAAGAAAAAAGGACAATCTTATGTCCCTGTTACCTTTTTTAAAAACAGAAGCACATCTGAGAAATAGTGATACACATTTTAAAAGCCACCCACAGACATATTTCACTTATTTAACAAAGCTGGGATTATTTCCAGCCCTCTATGATCAAATAATAGTCTGCGTGCAATCATACAGAATTAGGGAAATCTGAGAAAATATACCAAAAATAGTATATTTTAAAATTCATGTGCATAAGATTTTACATATGACAAATATGTAGGGGATTGTGGAATCTTAATATTGTGTCACCAAGAGGAAAAATGAATTCCATTATTAAAACATGCGGGTCTCTGGAGCACCAATAAATGCCAACATGCTGAACAAAATGTGGAATCATGCGCAAAGTGCTGCAGTGTGTGTCCCGTGTAACAGGCACTCAGAAAGTACGCCCAGTGAAACTGCTAACAGCACTTCTACATGTGATCGTTGAAATTTGTTCTAATGAACCGAGGAACCGGTCTTTGAAGTGGGCCCTGGTGAGACTCCACTTGCTCTTAACAGTATCCTGAAAGGCTTTATAGGGTGCAAAATGAAGACCTTGTTTAACTTATGGAAGTGGATTTGCACCTTCTCTGTATTAGGTGAAAAACAGCAATGCCCCGCTTCTCCCTATAGCCCCGTATGACCCATTTATAATTACTACAAAGCCAATGCCTGCTAGGTTATGACTTCGTTAAGGTTTGTATTTTATATTTCTGATGGAATTAGATGGACCAACGTAAAAACCAAAATGAGGTTTGTTGTAAAGAGATCTGTGGTGTGTGTCCTAGGGACCCTTTTTTGAATCTCAGAGCGTATACTTGATTGTGCTTGAAAAGGACAATAGCCACAGCCCAAAAATACTCATCACAGAAAAGGTTATGCACATTAGAGAAACTAAAAAAGAAGGAATCTGAAAACTATCACTGAACATGTTCTATAGCCTTCACAGATAAGGAAGGACTCTGGATTAAGTCAATTGATCCTATGCCCTGTTGGTTCCAACACGTGTGCAGGTAAAGCTGTGGCTCCATATCTGGCCCACTGTACCCTCTGCGCCTCTCATGCCACTTATGACATTCTACTTGTCTTCTGGATATTTGTGCATTTATCATTCATCAGTTTCTTAAAGACAGAAACTAAGTTTAAATGATGCCTGCAGGCCCTGTACCATTGAGCAAAACACTTTGCTCAAAATAGGTGTGTGGCAAATGTGTATGTGAATGAGTAACTTTATGAGATCTTTATATGCTTTGATAAGACTTTAAAGTGTGCTTTTTGCCAGCTTTTAGGAAGGAGGCACATTGGACATGGAACTGTGAGACACAGCTCACCAAGTCATCTTTAAGTCATGTGAGCAGGGCAAATCTTGTTTGTTTCTATGTGCAGAATAGCAGGAACATCACAGCTTGTATTGTTTGAATGGAAAAGAATCACAGAGCTGAGCCACAGATACTTGTTACTTCTACAGGTCACAAAAACACAGGAATATGAACTTGGAACAATTTGTGAGTCCTCATTAAATCTTAATAGCCTGAGATGAATGCGAGAGATGAATAAATCAATTGAACAAGAACTACTAAAGTACAAGAGAAATTAAGCACCAGTGTGAACATAGTGAATCTTTCAAAAGATGTGAGACCACCTGTTAAGTTCTGCATGCAGTTTTATAATCTAGTCCAAATTATTGGATTCCACTTTTATCTTGCTGGCTCTGTTTTCTGGGGACATTTGCCAATCTCTCAATCAAGGCAGAGTTCTTATCACCTGGAAACTGCACAGTGGATTCTGTGACTCCCACAGTTTCAACCCCTATGACTGGGAGGAAGGGTTTTTTTTTTTTTTTGAGACAGAGTCTCACTCTGTTGCCCGGGCTAGAGTGAGTGCCGTGGCATCAGCCTAGCTCACAGCAACCTCAAACTCCTGGGCTCAAGAGATCCTACTGCCTCAGCCTCCCGAGTAGCTGGGACTACAGGCATGGGCCACCATGCCTGGCTAATTTTTTCTATATATTTTTAGTTGTCCGATTAATTTCTTTGTATTTTTAGTAGAGACGGGGTCTCGCTCTTGCTCAGGCTGGTTTCGAACTCCTGAGCTCAAACAATCCGCCCGCCTCGGCCTCCCAGGGAGCTACGATTACAGGCGTGAGCCACCGCGCCCGGCCTGGGAGGAAGGGTTTTAAGACACTTCTCTATAATATTTAGAAATTGTCATTTCTTTATTCCCCAGATAGATTTTTAGCTCCTCACTTACTATGTGCCAGGAACTTGCCAGGGAATCAAAGATGAAATGGAAATAGTTTAGTAAGAGAAAAATGGCAGATGAATGAATAATTGAAACAAAATATGATTAATATCATTGTAGAAGCATAAGAAAAATATAGGAAGTGGTAAGTCTTACAGCCTATAGTCATATTCTACTTATTCTACCTTGATTTTCTCCATAGCACTTGTCATCCTAAACTATCTATTTACTTGCCTATTTGTTTTTTACCCTTAACTAGAACATGAACTCTATGACTGCCTTGTTCTTTACTGTATCCTTATGATGGTGCCTGACACATGATAAGTTCTTAGTAATAGTAAATATTCCTTGAAAGAATGAATGAATAAAAGGAATGAAAATTCAGTAGGACTTAAAGGAGGAAGTTTTCTTTGCCCAAGAGTCAGGATAGGTCTCAACATGGAATGAACTCTGTGCTGGCTCTTGGGTGATGAGGAGGCATTAACCAGGCAAAACAGAGAGTAACGCTAAACTCAGCAGAGGGTGAATGTACAGGTGCGTGGAGGGGTGGAGGGATGAGAAATATCTGGGCACTGTTACCCCGATGGGCGCACGGATGGAGCCTGAAGGTGTGTGGAGAAGAGGAGGCTGGGCAGGGGCAGGTGGTCTCATCTGATATGCTAAGAAGGTTGGACTTTCCCCCCCAAGGCTGCAAGAACCACCAAAGACTTCCCAATGGCCATGAGCAGAGCGGATGTATGTATGCTTTAAGATAAGGAAGACTTGAAGTTGTGCTGTGCATTTCTTCAGAAATGCCTTTCTCAGAATGCAAGGTGGATATACTCCAGAAGGTGATAGCAGACTTTGGGAAATGAGGAACATGTCATCGGTAGGAAAACAGAAAATCACCTTCCATGACGACAAGCCGTGTAGACTGTACCCTCCTCACTGCCAACCACAAAGTTATTGACGTCTCCCGTCGGGAAAGCCATTCCGGTAACAGCGACAGGCTTGGACTTATTGTACACCAGCTCCATGCTCTCCTACCAAAACACGGTGTGGTTACATTTCCATCTGTCAACTCCTTGCCATGCCAAAGAGAGCACGGAAAAATCATTTGGCTAAATCGTCTGTTTGCTTTTCACACAGCGTTACAAAAGCCCCCGGCTGTGCCAGAAACCATGCTTTACTGCCCCTGACATTCATGCTTCTGTGGAGCTCTGGTTTCAGGCCGGCTGGATTTCATCAGCATGTGCTGCTGCTTCTTAAGTCAGGCAGAGATGACAGGTGAGAATTTTGAAACTAATGGTGCAGAAACTAAAGATAATACTGTAATGGTTACACTTGTCAGCTCCAGGCTTTAATAAAACACACAATACCCTTGTATTTACAAACATTTTCAAAATCAATTGTTCATGAGAATACACATGTATTAATATCAGGTGTACTAAGCACATTTGTCAAAGCAGGAATGTGGGTCCTCCATGGACTAAAACCAGAAAGTTGTCACTCAGGTCATAAAAACCAGATTTCAACGAGGACTAGATTTCATGAAGGACAGCCATTGGATGTGTAGGCTATAAGCCCACAAAGAATGATATTTAAATAAGCCTTTAAAATAGTTAATGAAAGTCTTTATTTTCTATAAAATGATTTTTTAAATTGGAAATTAAAGATTTCCAATTTTAAAAGATACACTGCTGAATTAAGTTTAATAACAGAGAAGAGTAATTTACTGTAAATAATGTTCCTGAGTATGTCTGGCTATTTACATCCAACGGCCTATTTTGTGGATCTGAAATATTAATAATTTTGAAAAATCATTCTGGGGTATCATGAACTCCCATCTGGGGTATCACTACTGAACTCCCATTACAGTTTCTTGGGAGTTCGGTTTTTCTTGCACAAACAAATAAACCGGGTCATTTCAGCCAAGGAGCCCATACATCAAAAGCACATGCTAACAGCATACGCAGCACAGACCGTGTGGTCCCGTGATGTGCTCACAGTTTGTGAGATCCACGCATAGCAAGTGCATCAACATCTGGGCTGAAGGAGAAGACGCTATGACAATGTAATACAGAAAACTGGAGCACCCAGTGGTCTGTCCCATCACTGAAAATAGCAGCAAGGAAGGTGAAGTCTTTTGGTTGCCTAACTGGGAGAGAGAGGGACGAGGATAACTGTCAGTGCTTCCTACTCCTTCGTGCCATCCACAGAAGCCATGCCATGAAATTCTCAACCTCTGCATAGACACAGCAGCCTGTGGGTGTGCTGACACTAATACGAATGGTCTTGAAGCCCCGTATAACTGGTTTTAACCTACACAAATACATATGCAATTTAAAAAATGGCCAATTAAAAATTCCTAAATAGTTTGCTATTTTTATATATGTTTACAAGTTCTGTGCTTTTAAAAGAAAACAACACATGGCTGAGAATTTTAAGACCAAGCCATAAGATACCCCCACACAACTCCAGACCTGTGTAATATTAATGATTAGCAAAAATAGAGGAACTTCACTTGTAAGCAGCTTATTAGCACTCTCTCTTTTCCCCCCTACAGTTATAAAAAGAACTGATGTAGTCTTAGTATTCTGTGCATCTGTATTTTGTGAAGACTTAAAGGAGGTTCTTTAGTTTCCATGTTTCCTTATGTATGTTTTGAAACTTTAATGTCTTCTAAAATTGTGTGACAGGCATCCTAGTGATGTTATTCCAGGAAAGGGAATAGGAATGTTAAAATTGAAAATTATCTCCTAGATATCCGTTACAATTTTCTTCATGTTCCCTTACATTTTTGTCAAATTCTGTAACAATGAACTCTTCTTTGTGGCTTTTAGTTGGAGGATGATGAAGTACTGTTTTTTCACACAGAGAAATGTGGAAAGAGTGCGTGTGCATGTGTTCATGAGTGCATGCACATGTGTCTGCATCCGTACGTATATTTTGCAAGTTGCATTTACACGCAGGTTCTCTCCACAGTCTCTCCTACTTCTGCTCCTTTGTTTGGTTCCTATTACTGCAATCAGTAGTGGTTTGGAAACTTTGGAACTTTTTCATTTTTGACTTCTCATTTGTTGAGCAAGGAATGGCAGGAGCCATCCTAACAAACATTCCAGAGGGGAAAACAGATGGTTTGACAAATTCTTCAAACACACAGGCGGTTGTCTAGGCTGCAGATACAAGCAAGGGTATGGGTTTCTGTTTTGCTGGGAGACCTTTTCTCCAAGGCAAGAACCCATAAGGGATTGCTCTGCTGAGCTCCAACCTCATTTGCATTTATTTAACGATGCTGTAGGGTAAGCACAACTCATACCAGAGGCAACTTCCATAATTACTATGCTTTAAAATGGATTATTTCATTTTCACTTGAAACTGACCTAAGGATTAACGTATTACAATAATTACATGATTTGTGGTAAAGGAAATGGGTTTTGGCTTCAAGAGGAGACTGCTGAAAGCAGGCCCCACTCTTTCAAGTGCATCCATTGGTTTTAGCTCCTATAGGATGTGAGGGTTTGGCTTTTAGGAACTATGTTCCATTAAGTAGGTATCTCTTTTAACCAGGATGCACTTATGTGTAGGGGAAAACAAACCCACCTGGGGAGTTGAGAGCATGTCCAGGCTCCAGGAACACATTTTACCATCGGTGGAGACAGTGATGAGGTTGTGAGCATTCTGGGTCCCGACAACATTGACACAGTACACGGGATGCTGTGAAACATAAACACGGAGGATCAGACACAGATCCAAGAGGAAATGCTTACATTTGAGTGTCAAACACATTACTCCAAAACAAGGATTAAAGAGTGACATAATCCTACTATAATACAAGCCTTAGGTCATTTGCCACTTTTGATTTGAACCTGGTTTCTTTCTAAAGGCTCTGGCAGCAACACAGAGTAGTGGAAATCCTTACAAAGCTTCACCTTGCTCAGTCAGATGCAGCGCAGTGGAACTAAAGGGAGCAAATGAGGCTCGGTGGGGCAGAAGCAAGGTAGGGAGGGGGATGTGGATAGGTCTCCGCTGCAGAGTTTGGCTTCTAAGCTCGACATGAGTGATGGAAAAAGACAGTCTTCAAAAGGGTAGGACTATTGACTTTTGGAAGGTATATGTGTTACTAAATCTGAATTACAGTCACAGTGTCGAACATTTGTTAACATTCTTTATAAAAAGTAGTTAATATTCATCTGCATATTTAATTTTGGGGGGAAGATATTGGTGGTGAATTATTGGCACAACATACCTAGTGAGATAAAATTAGGTCCTTTAATGTTACTGCAAAATCTAGGATAATGATAGATTTATTTTTCAAAATACCATTTGGAGTAGTATGGAGGCTTACATTTGGCCAGGGCCTTGAGAAAGGTCACTTGTACATCCCAGGAACTGAAAGCAAGATGCTCTAACCTTCCATCACACTCCAGTAGGTTATCCCACTGCAGAATTCTAAACGGTACGCCAAAAATTATTTGCAGCTGCGCATTAAACACTAAATGGAAGGTTAGCATAAACAGAACCTAGCAGCAATTTGGGTTTGATTTCAGGCAGCTTAGCTATCAGTGGCCAAACCACAACTTACTTGATGCTTCTCTTTGCAAATAGCTGACAGTCTAAGTCTTACTCTTGATGAGTTACTGTCCATAATACCTCGCCACAACTATAATGAAACAATCTTTAATATTGGAAAGTTGATATTATATAAAGGATGGTTCCCAAACTATTATTATCATATAAACTGCTGGTCAGAAGGAGCAGTAATAATCATCTAGTGTAGCTACTCATCTGCCTCAACCAAGAGGTGGTCCAAACTTCACTTAAACACCTTTCTTAAAGGGTAGCCAGTTTTAACATTGATTCCTGGGGAGTTTTTTCTTCCACTCATGAGGATAAAGAAAGTCCAAGGAGATATTTTTGATCTAGTATCAAGCTGGTCAAGTCAAAACAATACAGCTGTTTGAGTATTTATAGATTGTTGTTTCACATCACCCCTACCCCCAACAAGTGCTGTCTTAGTCAGACTAACCATTACCAATTCCTTCAACTGTTCCTTGGGTAGCTGGTTTTCAAAACCTTCCCCATCCTTGTCAATCTCTTTTGAATATGCTGTATTTTATCTGAGTTCCTCTAACAGTGAAGTTCTGAGAATGAAACAGAGCTATTTACTATAATCTGACTAGCAGAACAAAGAAATCTGGGTGCATTGAATTGTCAATTCTCATGTGATAAAAAAAATACACCTGCTTTAATGCATCCTAAGATTACATCTTCTTTTTTGACAATTACATCCCCTCTTTCACCCATGTTGATGGATAGTCAACTGAGTCCCTATGTCTTTCACACCACATTCCTACTGAAACTTTCAAAGGAATTAGCCCTGGTGGATCTACACAGTTGTAAATACCGCAGAGGTCTGAAACTAAGTGTTATCCTGATCAGGTCTCTAAATATCAAGAGGACTGATTGGTTGTGGGACGGCAGACAATACTCTTTCCCAAGTCTCTGGTGTATGTGGAGCCTGAGACAGCGTACAATCAAACTCACACCTGGAGTCACACAACGTGCAAAGCTCTGTGTGGAAATCAGATGGAAGAATGCGTGTAAGAAATTCTCACCTAAAAATAGTAGGCTTACTAAAAGTGAAGAATGGGAAAGCAGGGTCCAAATATTCTTACAAACTTGATATCCATCTAACCATGGGGCTTCTCTGTTAAATCACTGAGCATCAACACAAATCACCAGAACTCTAACGGGTTAGGACTCAGAAGGTGCAGTAGGGGAAAGAAGGCAGGAAGAATTTGTAGAGCCAAACAGCCAGAGAAGGAGTGTGTGTGGCAGCCTCTCCTGGGCTTTAATCAGAACTACCGGCCTGTGCTTCCGTGAGTAATAGAACTCGGTTTAAAAGAAAAAAGAGAGCTGTAAAGAAAACAAAACAGAAGCAGATACTGCACCATGCCTACACGCATCCCTCTCCCCCCCACACACACACTCACACACAGAGCTCTACTTAATGAAAAGAAAGAAACAACAGTATAGCTTATTTTTCCAGTAAGGATGCCAGATTGTTTTTATTTATTTCAGGAATAAACTAACTGTGTGGCAGAAGGATTTTTGTTTTAATTATGATTTCCTGTTGTCCCAAATGCACATGTGTGGTGGGTGTGAAAGGAAATTAGTCAGTAATTTGCGGTGAGCCTCTTTCTCCTTTTTGATCCTGGTTCCAACCAGTCAGGCCATAATGGAAGTGGAAAGACAATCACAAAATTAACTGTGTACTTTTAGTTATGGGTTAGATAAAACACAGTGAAAGAGAAAAGTGGACACATTTTTGTTTATTTTCTAACAGAAATAATGCCACTACATTTGATAACAATAGTATTTTAGTTGTGATGATCACACTCTTAAGTTACTTGAAAAAGAATGGTTAACTCTTTGGAAGAGGCCCTGGGTTTGGATTCTCCCCAAAAGCTTATTGCTAAATGTTCTACCATTTGGATTTATAATTTTGGAAATTTCAAAAGGTATGTTCACAATGCACAGACATCCACGTAGAGTCAAGAAGTGGTTTCACACTACTTGAGCAAACACCTGCATTAAGCCTGTCTTCTCCTGGGCCACAATTTTCTGTAATTAGTTTGGAGAAATAGGGTAGGCAAGAGCAATTTCCCAAGATTCCCAAGAACTAGTTTCACCTGCATGTGTCTTTGGCCCCCGTCAATCAAAATTAGGACAGACTTGGTATTTGTCATTTCCCATTGTCAATCTTCCAAGAGTGAAAGAATTTTCTTCCTCATGGTCTCAGCTGAAGCAGCTAGCAGTCCTTTTTCAAGCCAGAATGATTTTGAGGCCAGCAGATGAAACAGATGAGGCAACCACATTAAGGAAATTGAAAACAATAGTAGAGCTGTATCCTTGGGCATAATTTGGGCATTTCAGAGAAAGAACATCAGTTATCCTGAATGTCAAGGTAGCCAGGATTGATGGAGACATGCCTGTCTTCTCATTCCTCCTAACAATTGCTGTACACACCTGTCATTCTCTTAAAGGAAATGACAGAATAGTTGTCTCACGAAGACTATAGTGAACCTCTTCTACTAAATTATGGGTAATGGTTTTGAGATGTTGACTTTTAACCCTAGGGATTATATTGTCACTGTAGACTTTATGTTGAGATTTACATCACACATTCCAGAATTTAAAGCCATAGTACTCTCTTAAATCTCAAATGGAAAAGGCCTGTTGGCAAAAGTCCCATATATACCATCCCTATACATGAAATGCTTACCCTTCATGCTTTATTTGAAAATATGTATTTCTACTTTATAATGTAAATGTGAAGGGTTTCTATAGGAAAAAAATTCCACAGATGCCTCTTCCAAAGTTTCTCTTCACTGGTGGTCTTTGGGGCCTCCGAGGAGATCCTTTCTACATGCTAGAACATGTAGGTTATTAAGAAATATCTCTAAACCCAGTGCTTCTTTCAACCACTTTTCACTCGGCTTTCTTTTAGTCAGTCAAGATACAATAACTATAATGTAAATACTTCTTTTTTTAATTTCAGAATATCATAGGGGTACAAATGTTTTGGTTACATGAATTGCTTTTGTACATTTTGATTCAAAGTTGTAAGTGTGTCTATCACCTGGATAGTGTACATTGTACCCGTTAGGTGTGAATTTACTCTTGCCCTCCTCCCCCCTCCCACCTACTTTATTTATGTTGAGTTTTAGTACTATATGTGCACATGACTGTTGGTCAATTAGTTCCCAATTTAATAGCGAGTACATGTGGTATTTGTTTTTTCATTCTTGTGATACTTTGCTTAGAAGAATGGTCTCCAGTTCCACTCAGGTTGTTACAAAAGGTATTAGTTCACCACTCTATTTAATGGCTGAATAGTACTCCAGGGTACACATATACCACCTTTTATTAATCCACTCATGTATTGATGGGCACTTGGGTTGGTTCCACAGCTTTGCGATTGTGAATTGTGCTGCAATAAACATTCAAGTGCACGTGTCTTTTGTATAAAATGACTTTTTTCCTTTGGGTAAGATACTTATAACTTGTTCCTGGAAACATCCATACTTTTGTGAGTTGAGCTCTTTCCTCTTTCAGGGCTTGGATGGCTGAGACGGATGTGACAAAAGTTTGACTTACCGTATGTGCAGCAGCGGACAAGGGTGTCCGCTGCACCGGTGTCCTTCGATGACTTCGATTGTCCCAGAGGACAATCTGGCCCGAGTAAGTGCCACCAACCACCAAGTTAGGATGGAAACGGGCGAAGCAGACAGACATCACGGATGACTGTAAGGAAAAAGGAGAGAGAGAGTCTCTGTGAATGCGTGTCCTATAGAAGGCTTGTTTCTTCCGAAGAAGAAGCAGGTCATCACATAAATGCAACACATCCTGGACAACACACAGTTGTTTAAAGCTGGGACTGTGAAGTGCATAGTTAGGGAACTTTGTACATAGACACAGGCCTTTCTCTTGACAGGCTGGTCAATGGTTACCACTTGAACTCTGAAATTTTAAGTCCTGGCCATGTCACCAAATAGGCATAAAACCTACCTTAAGTACATCATTTTTTTTGTGGACTGTAAAGTTTGTCCTGTGGACATTTCCCATTTATGGAATAAAGTTTCAACAGAACTAATATTGATTCTCCCCTGAAGGCTTCACAAAGCAATTGTTTACTTTGAGGGCATGGCCACATCAAGTTACACTGTTTGCAGTGTTTGTAAGGCCAGAGTAATTCTAGCTGCAAGGTTTAAGATGGGATGCTTTGTTGTTGTTTTTTGTTTTTGGCTTAATGTAGACTTCTAAGAAGTACACTGACCTCAGACTGATGCAACTGGCTCCACCCCAGACTCCCGCACCTCCCACGGGTGTTCTCCCTGACCTCTGTCCTGCCCACTTCAGACAATTCTTCATGTTATTCTTTGCCTGTTTTAACAAACAGCCCGAAATGGATTTCTGTCCCACTCTTCCATGCTCTACCATGATCTGTCACAAATGTCATTTCTGAAATTCCACAAAGACTACTGGGCACCACATTTTTGTAGGAAACTACTCAGCTGAGATAGAACCATGATGCACTTAAAATCAGACAAGTTACTGTTTTACATCTGCTAAGTCTATTTTTGATTCCTGCAGTACTTTGCATATTTGCATTTATAAGTGGAAGTAATTTTTTTTTAATAAATACCTTTCATGTCTTCAATGAACAGTCATTGAGAACTTACTATGTGTAAGAAAGGCATTGTACCAGGCATGGTGGGAATAAAAAGGTAGTCATTGCCCTCAACAAAGTTGTGCCCTGGTAAAGGGAACTAGAAAAGCAAGGATGCAGATGAACAGAGCTGCTCCTAGTCCATACAGTGCCTTTGTGTGAAATAGAAAAAGGTGCCCCTCTGCACAGACACAGCCATGGGGGCAGGCACCTGTTTTGGCAAGTGGACAGCAAGATGGATTTTTGCCCTTACTTCTCCCTTGGGCTTGACATCCTTGTGCAGGGAACAACTTGCACACACAAGTGTCTTTAATGTGATTACATGTTATGACTAAATCCTGGGAACATGTGTGTATGTCTGTGTGTGTGGGAGGGGGTGGGTAGAAGGAGAAGATTTGTTTTAGTTAAGGGAGGAGAGAGAAGGGTGGAAAGATCTTGGTTAGAAAGACCGCCTGGGCTGGGTGTGTTGGCTCACCCCTGTAAAGCTAGCACTCTGGGAGGCTGAGGCAGGAGGATTGCTTGAGGTCAGGAGTTCAAGACCAGCCTGAGCAAGAGTGACAGCCCAGGAGTTTGAGGTTGCAGTGAGCTATGATGATGCCACTGCACACTACCCTGGGCAACAGAGTGAGACTCTGCCTCAAAAAAAAAAAAAAAAAAAGAAGGAGGTGGAAGGGGGTGTGTCACTGTGTCATACCTTGAAGTGTATGTGGAACATTCAGCAAGTGGAGAGACGGGATAATGGAGAGAAAGGACTGAAGCAGCAAAACAGAGACTGGTGAACAGTTAGTCCAGAGTCTTTTCCAGCTGAGAGGGAGCTTGTATGGAAGAGGCAGGAGGTAGGAAATGCGGCTGAGTAGGTCTCCTGGACTGGACAAAAGAAGGCCTTGAATGGCCCTATTTGGAATTTTTGCTGTGGGCAATGGTTAGAAATCCCAGCTTTCTGAGCAAACAAGTGAGAGGATAAACAGTTGTATTGCTAAGGCAGCACAGTAGTGATTGAAAAGAAATTATGACCTCTTTCGGACTGGTAAATTAAACATCCATTTCTAAAAAAAGCCCAAAAAACAAAAAAAAAATCCAGATCTACTATCTGCCTAAGGCTTCCTAGTCAGAAACAGTCTCAGATACTCTGAGGGAGAAGAAAGAATGTAGACTATTTTTTGATGTCACGTTTTCCTAGTTTGAATGATTTTCAGTTCCAATTCCTTGAACACAATTCGATGGAGAACATGCTCGTGCCCCAATCTGGTTTTCATAAAGTTCAAGAATAACTCTCAATAATGATCCTGAATTAAAGAAAAAGAAAATAATGCTGGTCAGCTTCTTGTTTTACACATCCCACAGAAATGATTCTTAGTTTTCAATTGATGAAATTCTTATGTTGCTGGAGCTATGTTGAAAACAGTTTTTTTTTTTAAGCTTCAGAAAGACTTAAAATTATTGAGGTGATATCAACAATTGAATTTACCAAAGCTCAAATCAATATGGATAAAGGAATGTGATTCAATTTAAAAAATCCGGAATTCAACCTCTTGATTGCGTCTATGTTTCAGTTAAATACCAGCAAATACCCCTCCCAATCTTGCACTGTTTGTTAAGAGACTAAACCAGAGAAAAACAAACAGTGGAAGTATTTCTATGAAACTGAAACATACAGTTGGCAGCCAACTAGAATCCAACCCACAGGGTAAGAACTCTACCTACTTTATCATTCACCCATTTGTTCACTCTTCATTCATTTATTCATCCAACGCTTAGCGTCAACTGAGGTCGACTAAACCATTTCAAAAAAATTTCAAATGTCACAAAAGCCCTCCATCTCAAATTCAGAATTCTATTTAAGTTTGATAAAAAGTCAAATCAATGCTAAAAAAGAGTCACAACACCTTGAAGCACCAGAGTTCTGCCTCCAGAGTCTACTTTGTTTTGCTGCAAACCAATTTTACATCTCCATGAGGAAAAAGGATAGATATATTCATTTTCATTTTATATTTGGAAGATGAGATATAGTTATGTTCATCAATTTCACTTATCTTTTAAGCTCAACACATTAATTATAATACATATTTTATGCATTTTATGTATATGTTTAAAAATATATATATATTCATATACATATATGAATTTTTTCTGTGTTCAACACAGATCTCCATGGTACATCACACTTGACACTATCATTCATATGGAAATACTAAGGCAGTATAATACATAGATGTGAACATGTGTTCATGTTACATGTGTTCATGATACATAGATGTTACATAGATGTGAACTTTAGAATTCGATCATTTCACAAGATGTTTGTACATACCCTGACATTTGATGTAATCGTGGCAAACATTTGGATGATTGACTAATTTTTTATTTTTCATCCAAATGTTTAGGTACTTAGACACATAGGATCAGCCCTCCCGCTACAGGCCTGACAAGGAGAGCTCATCTTCTCATTTGGAGAGTCTGCACCAAGCCTCCTCAGAGGAAAGGGCCTTGGAAAGCGCCTGCAACTTCCTGCTGTTCCTGCAGCTATGGATCTAGTCATTGCTGCTGCCGATTGTCATGGAATTTACTGACTGTCAGTAAAAGGAGCCGATGATGATATCATCCTGTCAGTTACATCCGTTTGGTAAAAAGTAAAAGAGCATTTCAGAAAAATTGGTTGACACTACTAAAAAACATGAGGTTCTTTGGTCCTCATTTTTTTTTCTTTCTTTTTTTTTGAGACAGAGTCTTGCTCTGTCACCAGGCTAGAGTGCCGTGGCGTCAGTCTGGCTCACAGCAACCTCAAACTCCTGGGCTCAAGAGATCCTCCCAAGTAGTTGGATTACAGGTGTGCACCACCACACCCAGCTAATTTTTTATATTTTTAGCAGAGATGGGGTCTTGCTCTTGCTCAGGCTGGTCTCGAACTCCTGACCTCAAGTGAGCCTCCCACCTGGGCCTCCCAGAGTGCTAGGATTACAGGTGTGGGCCACTGTGCACGGTCTTGGTCTCATTTTTAACAGTACATTTCTCTAAAGACAAATTCTATGAAAAACATTAATAACACTAATGTTATTTTTAAAATTTTTATCATTTTCTTAGACACTTTCCTATAACTTAATCAACACAAAATTAAAATTTTATGTTAATTAAAATTTTGTGTTGATTAAGTTATCCAGCGTTAAGATGAAGAATTGTTAAACTGTGATTAATAAAATTTAGACAAAATTAATTGGAAACAAGAAGTTTCCTTACCTCGATATTTTTGACTCTATAAGAATGCATATGTGTACAGACATTTTTGTAGTTCTAACTTTTTACCTATTTTATTTTCTCCTTTAAAATGTTATAACCTTAGAATTATTTTGAAGAATAATATATGGCCTTTGAAAATTCAAATCAAGTAGTTTACAGGAGTGGAAAATAATTATAAAGTTGGTGAGAATTTTTGGACAATGTTAACTGTCTAATCAAAGTAAGCTTTCCTGACACTACAGTTGAACTTTGTTTTTATAAGGCTAGTGATTACATTGCTGTGGCCATGTTGTTGGTCAAATCAGGGGCCCAGAAATATGATAAACTCATATTTTAAAAACTTGATGCAAAACTTGATGCAAAAAGCTTAGGTTGAATCTAGAACCAACCTAAGTGCCCATAAATTCCTGAGCGGATAAAGAAAATATGGTGTATATATACCATGGAGTACTCCTCAGCCATAAAAAGGAATGAAATAATGTCCTTTGCAGCAACTTGGTTGAAACCAGAGACCATTATCCTAAGTGAAGTATCTCAGAAATGGAAAACCAGACACCACATGTTCTCACTAATAAGTGGGAGCTAAACGATGGGTACACATGGGCAAAAAGAGATGCAAAGGACACTGGAAACCAAGAAGGGAGAGGGTGGGAGGGAGGCATGGGATAAAAACTTACCTGTTGGGCACAATGAACACTATTCTGGTGACGGACACACCAAGAGCCTGACTTAAGCATTATACAAGGAATTTACGTAACAAAAACATTTGTACTCCCTTCATATATTGAAATTAAAAATAAAAACAAAAACAAAAACTTACATCACCAAAAACAAACAAACA